CAATTGGATAAGCTAGTATCAAAATTTATATGGCAGGGGGAAAAGCCCAGAATTAGACTGAAATTGTTGTAGGACAGTACTGAAAGAGGAGGATTTGGCCTACCGGATTGGGAAATATATCATAGAGCGGCTACTCTGACCTGGGTTAAAGATTGGATAAGTGTTAAAAATAAAAGAATATTAACATTAGAAGGATATAACTTACAGGCAGAGTGGCATGCTTTTTGTGGCAGGACAAACATCAAATTCATGGTTACTTTCACAGGAATAAAATTAGGTAGACCTTACTAAATGCATGGAATAAAACTAAATGGCAAATCTACGTTGAAATACCAACTTGGCTATCTACATTAGAAGCGTTAATGTACCCACATTTATTGCGTCGAGGCCAGGTCATTACATATGAGGACATATTAGATGAGAAGGGTGATTTAAAAACAAGACAGAGTTGAAAGATTTGGGATTTGAGATAGAATGGTGGGCCTATTTACAATTAAAGATATGAGTAAAGGTATTAGTAGACGGAAAACAGAATTAGATAAAATATTACTAGGAACGGATGAGAAATTGATTTAAAAAACTTACAAAGTATTATTAGAATGCAAACTGGAAGAGGAAAAGGTGAAAGAAATGATGTTGGCCTGGATGAAAGATTTTGGATATGGCATAAATTTGGATGATTGGCAAATTTTAGGGGACAGGAATAGAAAAATAACCTTTGGCGGCATCATAAAAGAAAACTTACACAAAATGTTTTATCAATGGCACATTTCACCATCAAAATTGGCAAGAATGTATCCGAAATTATCCCCTAAATGTTGGAAATGCAACAAAGAAATTGGAACATACTACCACGTATGGTGGAAATATGAAAAAGCTCAAACATATTGGCTAAAAATTAGAAATTGGTTAGAAGAGATGTGTAAAATTAAAATAGAATTTAGACCTGAAATTTTTCTATTGGGAATCAATGTGGGAAAATATAGAATAGGATACTTTATTGGCCAAGTGTGATTGGACACACAAGGAATTTGTCTTGGTGTAAATACTCTCAGTATATATAAAGAAAAAATACATTGGTTAAGAATCAAGAATCATAACGTACAACACTTAATGATATCATAGGGTTCAATCAGCAATCAAATCATACTAGGAAACAGTCAATATAAATTGTAAGGATACAACCGACAAAGTTACAGTCCTACAATCACAAGTGGGAGGGGATGGGTGATAAGGAGTGATGAGAAGATTAACAGTAATAGTAGTGCACACTTTGTAAATAGTTGAACAGCGTTGAGGGAATTATTTGTTTAGCAGAGTGATGGCTTTCGGGAAAAAACTGTTCTTATGTCTAATTGTTCTGGTGTGCAGGGCTCTGTAGTGTTGTTTTGAGGGTAGGAGTTGAAACAGTTTATGTCCGGGATGTGAGGGATCTGTAAATATTTTCACAGCCCTCTTTTTGACTCGTGCAGTATACAGGTCCTCAATTGAAGGCAGGTTGGTAGTAATTGTTTTTTCTGCAGTCCTAATTGCCCTCTGAAGTCTGTGTCTGTCCTGTTGGGTTACAGAACCAAACCAGACAGTTATAGAGGTGCAGGTGATAGACTCAATAATTCCTCTGTAGAACTGGATCAGCAGCTCCTTGGGCAGTTTGAACTTTCTGAGTTGGCGCAGAAAGAACATTCTTTGTTGGGCTTTTTTGATGACGTTTTTGATGTTAGGTGTCCATTTTAGGTCATGTGATATAATAGAACCTAGAAATTTGAAGGTCTCTACTGTTGATACTGTGGTGCCTAGAATTGTAAGAGGTGATAGGATGGGGGGGCTTCTTCTAAAGTCTTCCACCATTTCTACGGTTTTGAGTGTGTTCAGTTCCAGATTGTTCTGGTTACACCACGAGGCAAGTTGTATAACCTCCTGTCTGTATGCAGATTTGTCGTCTCGAATGAGACCAATCACTGATTTGTCATCACAAACTTCAGTATTTTAACAGATGGATCATTTGAGATGCAGTCATTGGTATATAGGGAGAAGTGGAGAAAGCACACAGCCTTGGGGGGGGGGCCTGTGCTGATTGTACAGGTATCGGATGATAAAAAAGAGATGATATACTTAATAGTCCATGTCACCACTGCTGCGAGATTAGCCCTTGCCCAAAGATGGAAAGGTAATGATATGCCAGATGAGATGGAAATAATTAGAAAAATTTGGACGTGCACTGAAATGGATAGAATAACCCAAGAATTAAAAGATAAGACTGAATCTGATTACTACAAAATTTGGGAGAAGTTTTACCCCTGGTTTAAAAAAGAAAAGAGTAAATGTATTAACGATGATTAATATTTATGTATATATGTAAATTTATATTTTTTGTTATATGTATTATACAAGGATGTAAGACAAATAGGTTTGTCAGGATGTATGCACCACGTTCATTATTTTTAAATGTTTTTCTTTTTGTTGTTCATTAATAAAATTTATATATTTTTTTTAAAAAATGGCAAACTCCCCATGGGTGGGTGGGTGGGGGGAAACGACTCACAGACACTCTGGTTGGCCACCCTTGAGGCTCACCTGGTTCTTGCCCATCCAGGCCCTCCCAGCCTCCAACCTCGGAAGAGCATCTCCCGCGTGTTGGTGAGCTCACTCCACGGCAGCCAGTCGGTCGGTCGGAGGAGGAGGAGGCCCTGAGCCCTCTTCCCTCTTAACAAGACTGACCGGAAGCGGCCCCAGAGGAAGGAGGAGACCCCCCTCCCCCTTCCTGATGCCCAGGGCTGGTCCGCAAGGATGCCCTAGTCAACAGTACTGAATGCCCCAAGAAATCCAGGAGGGCCAGAAGCCAGGGGCCCTCTTCACCTGAGCCTCAGTTCTACGGCCGGGCCTGCTTCCAGCACGGAAAAGGCTCTGGGGTCGGTCAGATTCATTCGGGGCCCACCACCCTCTCCCCGCCCTCCCTTGGAGAAAGGGGGATCCAGGGATGGCTCCTCTGGGGAAGGGGCCTGCCTCTGCCCCGAACTTGGCCTGCCCAAGCGGTGGGAGTCAGAGCCTTATCCCAGGGTCCGAAGGGAAGGGGATTCAGTTCCAGCAGGACTGAAGGGCTGTGGTGGTTTGGATCCGCCAGGGCCAGAACCCCCCCTCCCCCCTCCCGTCTGCCCCGGAGTTCGGGTTCAGGAAGGGTTTTCCTGGGCTTCTTGCCGCTTCCGTTGAAAGAGCAAAGGGTCCGTGTAGCAGGAAGGACTTGGTCCACACTCCTCTTTTGTACCCCTTGCAACCTTTTGTGGGTTGGGCTGGGGTGTCTGGACTGCCACTCCTTAGTGCTGTGTGCTGCCCAGGCTCTCCTCCTGGAGCCAGACGGATCTCCCAATCCAGTCGGCCAGTGTGAAGTGGCGGGTGGCCCTTCCAGCCGAGAACCTGGGTGGGGCCCTTTTGCCCTCCTTTCCGTGGTCTTCCCTTGCCTGAAGGAGCCCGTGTTTCATGTTGGCCTTGGGTTATCCGGCCTTCTAGCCGCCCAGTGGGAAAGGAGGGGGCGACCTTCGCCTTCGGACCCAGAAGCAGTCAAGGGAGCCAGATTCCCCTGCAGCTCCTGGGCTGCGTTTTAAAGCCGAGAAAAGGGGGCTGGAGAGATGAGGATGGAGAGGGGTTCGCTCCAGCCGGCCTTTGGGAAGGAGTTTGTGAAGGCAGGCGCACTTAAGCTTTTGAACCTTCAGAAGCTTTTTCCTGGAAAGTCCACAGGACGACGGGGGGGCGTTTATTTGAGAAGCCTTTAGCCGGCTCTGGTGAGCGTGCAGAGGGAGAGGGAGAGTCTCTTCCTTAGCCTTGAACGTTGAACGCATCTTGGGATGGAAGCCGTAGGAATTGTTTCAGGCCTCCTCCCAGAGGAACGTCTCTGTTGCCCTGGTCAGTTTGGTTGTCATTTGTGTTTTTTTCTAGTTGTACAACATCTTTTTTGTGTCACGGTTATCATATTGCTAAAACTTTAGTAGATTTGGAAGTGAGCACTGTTCCAGAATACCTTTCAGTGCTTTTTTATTCCAAATCTCTCAAAAATGTGTTGAATGGTAGGAAAAGTCCACCTGAGATTATTCTGCGTCCAAATCACAAGCTTTTGAGAAAAGACAACTAAGGGAAGCCTCTCGACTGGCTGTTCAGCCCCCTTGGATCTGCCGAGCAGGACTGGCAGGTGCTCCAGCCTTGGTTTTCCACATGGACTTCAGGTGACAGACATGGATCCGAGTGTAAAGAGAGCTCCGCCCTCTGGGGGGGCCCTCCCTCCGCGCGCACCCCCGTCCCCCGCGATACGCAGGCTCAGCCTTTTGGGTGCCCAGCACCCCCCCACCCCCCCACACACACACCAGGCCTTGGGCGCTGAGGGCAGCTGGGCCCGTTGCCCCTGCTGCCTGTACAGGAGACCCTAGTGAATCAGGGCTGCCCAATTTCACAGCTCCCCTTCCTGGCCTTCTCAGCAGCCCTGATTCACTAGGGTCTCCTGTACAGGCAGTCCTCGACTTGCAACAGTTCACTTAGTGACCGTTCAAAGTGACAAGGGCACTGAAAAAAGGACCGTTTTTCATTCCCAGGTATGACCTTTGCAGCCTCCCCATGCTCCCGGGGTCAGAGTTCATACTTACGACCATGGCCGTGTTTCAGGGTCACCTTTTGAACACTTCTGACGTGGAAGTCGATGGGAGGCCACATTCACTTAAGAAGCAGATTACTAACCTATCAACTGGACTGATTCACTTAACAACCGGGGCAAGAACTGTCGTTAAATGGGGCAAAACTCACTTGACTAGTGTCTCACTTAAGAACAGGAATTTGGGGCTCAATTGTCATAAGTCGAGGACCCCGAGCCGGGATGCTCTGGGTTCCCTGCCCAATTAGCCGAAGGACAAGCACCCGGTCGGTTCCACCCAATTTGCCCTGTGAGAAACGGGGGGGGGGGCAGGGGCCGCGTTGGGGTCGGCGGAGCAGGGGTGAAGCCGTGTCCTCTTCCCCGCCAGGTAGGGGCGAGTGCGGCCTCATCCCCACCATGTTTTGGAAGTTCGATCTGAATGCAACGTCCCACGTTGACAGACTGCTGGAGAAAGAGGACGTGACTCTGCGCGAGTTAATGGACGAAGATGACGTCCTGCAGGAGTGCAAAGCCCAGAACCGGAGGCTGGTGGACTTCCTCTGCCGGCAGCCGTGCATGGAGGAGCTGGTGCAGCTGATCAGCCGCGAGCCTCCCCTGGACGTGGACGAGAAGGTCCGCTTCAAGTAGGTACCCTGAGGTCAAAGACAGGGGGGGGGTGTCCCTCCCGCAGGGGTCCCGCTGTCAGGCCACCCCTCCTCCTCCTCCTCATTGTGCGGAAGGCGCCTCTTGGCGGCTGAACAACCTGAGCGGTGAAAAGGGGTGTGCAGAGTCCCCAGGGGAAGTGAGGGTGTCCCATGGAAACCTTGGACTTTTCAACCACCCTCACTGGGACAGAAATAGGATTGTTTCAAAACATGGACAGCTTTCTAATGGCCGAGCCTGACCTTTGACCTTGGTGGTGGCCAGAGCTACCTCTGGGTGACGAGAGGAGGGGGGAATTCTCTGAGACTCTTCCGGCATCCTGGCTTCTGCTCTCGGGCCTGGCTTGGGCTGGCTGGCAGTCCTTGGAAATTTTCCCCAGGCCTAGCAAATCTCCCGGAGGGCAGCTGTAATGTTCCTGGAGAGACCCCCTGTCGGACGTAGATGAGTCCAAGAAAGAGGGGCCAGCCCAGAGGTCGGGCAGAGGCCATCGGAGCCTGGGGAGAAACCCAGTCGGGAAGCCCCCCTTTTCCTTTGGCTTCCTGGCCGCAGCTCTTTCTCCAGAGCCAACCAAAGCCAGCCCCCCCCCCCCCGCCCCCCGGGCCTCCCTCCCATGAGCTAAACCTGCCTGGCTGGGATCTATTTCATAGGCCAGGCTGAATTGCTGGGGACGGTTCTGTTTGGCTCTGTCCGTGTGTTTGAGAGAGAGGGAGAAGGAGAGCGATTAAGGAGGAAGCAGCCAGCTGGAGGAACTTCTTTCAAACTAGTTCTCCACCCCCCCACCCCCGCCTTCTTCTTTAACCCTGGATATATATGATAAAACATCTTCATTTCTTTTTCTTGACTCAGCCTACTCATTCTCCTCTGTTAAAACACCCTCCTGAGGAAAACATTGCAGAGAAGAAACCCCCCCCCCCCCCCCCCCAAAATGCCACGGTACTGATATGGAAGGATTACGAGACACCCCACCTGCTCGCCCGCCTGCCTCTCCCCACGCCTGGCACTGGTCTCTACGGATGCCCCCATCGCCAGACCTCCCCGCTGACTCCTTTGCGTTGCCCAAGCCTGTCCTTGCCGTGGGGGGCGGGCCTTGGCAGTCCCCGCTTGCCCGCTCTTCGGGAGACCCGAAGAGGCCCCTGCTTGTCCTCAGCCTGGGCTTGGCTTCTGCTCCTGCAGGTACCCGAACACGGCCTGCGAGCTGCTGACCTCGGATGTGCCCCAGATCAGCGACCGGCTGGGGGGAGACGAGGCCCTGTGGGACGTCCTCTACGGCTTCTTGGACCAGGAGCCTCCCTTGAACCCCTTGCTGGCCAGTTTCTTCAGCAAGACCATTGGCAGCCTTATCGCTAGGAAAGCTGAGCAGGTGAGGGGTTCTTTCCTTCCCAACCGGCCCCCCTGCTGCCGCCTTTACAGGCACCCAGCTTGATGAGAGAGGTCCTTTCCCTCTGGGGCAGAAGGAAGAACGGACCACGGGGCTCCTTTCTAATCCTCGCCCCTAAAAAGGCTGCTCTCCCCCGGGCATTCTTTGGCGTTGCCCTTGCCTTTATTGTGCCCCTCCACACTTCGCCCTGTGGCCAAAGCATCTGCCTGTGCCTCGTTGCCCTCTGCGGGCCGGGCCGGGCCGGGCCGAGAGGTGGCTCCGGGCGCAGGGTGCCCAAGGCTGGGGCTTTACGCCTGGGGCAGAGATTCACAGAGGAGCCTGCTTCCTTCTGCTGTACGGGTGCTTCTCCTAAAAGGCCCTGGCACTCGTCCGTCCTATATATAGCCGGTTTAGAAAAGAACCTGTCCACCCAGCCAAACTGGACCGGACCCAAAGGAGTTCTGAAGTGGGGCGGGAGGGAAACGGCTGCAGCTCAGCATCCCCCAGCCAACCCCTGGGAGCTCAGGAGGCAGCCCGAGTCCTTCAGCCTGGGAGCTCAGCTAAAGCAGCCCCAGAGGTGGTGGTGTGGGAGGGAGAATGCTTCCTCAAGTGAGGGGGTTTGGTTTGCCCCCTCCTCAAGAAGCCATTGCTGGACCCCCCAGGCTGGACCGTTTCTGCCCCATCCCTATCCTCCCCTTTCTGGGGAAGGTGGTTGAGAAAGTGATGGCGCTGAAACCTCAGGAGGCCTTGAGGAGATGGTCTGGACCGTGTGGATGATCTCTGGCAAGGGCGGGGTGGAGATTGTGCTCCCACCCTGGTGCAAGTTGACCTTTCGGTAGCTTTCCGTCATCCCTGGATCCTCCCAGAGGGACCCGGTGGGTGGCACGGTGTGGGCCGGGGGTTGATTCCAGGGTTGGTGGGGGTTCCAACCATTGGCCCCTGCAACTTGGGGGGGGGGGTGCATGTCCTCTGCAAACGTTAGCTAGAAGGTGCCCTTGCTTGAAACGAGGGGCTCTCGTCAGGCCTGGCGGCTGTGGTGGTTTCGTTCCCCAGGTGGTTTCGTTCCTGAGGAAGAAAGCCGAGTTTGTGGACCTGGTGCTGAAGCACCTTGAGACGTCCGCCATGATGGACCTCCTCTTGCGACTGGTCAGCTGTGTGGAGCCGGTCCCCCTTCGCCAGGAGGTGCTGCAGGTCAGGGCTCACGTTAGGGGGCCCTGTGTTGGGAGAGTGCCCCCTTTCAAAGGGCCAGCGTCCAGGAGGGCGCAGGGCCCCCTCCCCTTGGATGGAGCAGAGGGGGCCGGAGGGGAAGACCCCACCACAGGGGCTTTCTCTGGGTGGGATCATCCCCCTTGGCTGCCCGCCCTCATCCCTGATTGGGGAGGGGTTGGCTTTCCTGCAGGGCTCAGGGTGAGTTGCGCAGAAGTGCCTGTTCTGGGCGGCCAGAGATGGCTGGGGCCGGGGCCGGGGGTGAAGTCCTTTGGCTGCTGTGATTTCTTTGGAGCTTCTGAGAATAAAGCCTGTGAGATTGGAAGAAGGGGAGGGGGCTGTAGCAGTGGTGGTGGGGCACTGGCTTATCTGTTGTTTCTCCCCCCCCCCCCCGCCCTTTTGTGCTGCAGTGGCTGAATGAGGCAAAGCTGGTCCAGAGGCTGGTGGAGCTGATCCGCCCTCACCAGGAGGAAGACGTGAGTGTCCCTTGAGCAGCAGTCAAGGAAGGAGAGTGGCCCAGAGGAGAGGTGGGAGGCCAGCAGGCTCTTCCTGGGGGAGCTCCCCCATGGGCCTCACCCCTCCCCCTCTGACCCCAAGGGCTCCTTCGCAGGGAGGGGCCTTTTGGAGAGGGGAGTCCTTCTCGGCAGAGCCTCTAGGCCACCTCCGGGGGCGGGGTGGAAATCCTGCCAGGGTTCTAGCTCCTGTCCTGGCTGGACGTCTGCCTTCTTCCCTCCCTCCTCGCCTTGAGGGGCAGCCGTCACGCTCAGGGCTTGGCCCGTCCTCTTCCTTGGGGAAACACTTCTCGGCTGCCGCTGCTGGTTTCCCTTGTCGCCCTGAAGCATTCCTGGTCCTACAGTGGTTTGCTGAACAAGCCCACATCCGCTTGATTCACGCCACCACGGACGGCTGTTGCTGGGCTTAAATAGCTCTGCTGAATAATAAGGAGATGCCAATTCAGGAATACAGAATGCATGCAAAATTGACACGTTTAAAAGGCAGGTGTAAGGAAATAGTGGAATAGCAACTGGTTGATACTTTATGATAGAGAGAATGGATGCACCGGAGGCTACAACTCCTTGTTGAGTCCATCAGAGTTAAGTAGTGCATAACGTAACCCAGGAACGTAGGGCCCATTCAGAATTCCCAAGGAGCATCTTGGTGTTCGACGTGGTGAGGATTTAGGCTGAGCCTGGAGGTTTGGGTGCAACTGTGGAGGGGGCCTGCTGCTCTCCCACCTCCCCCCCCCCATTTCCCCAGGGGTTGGGGGGGGGAATTGCTCGGGCCTTTGAAGGGCTCTCTTGCCAGGAATGACTTGTTGCCCGGTTTGCAGAGACAATCCAATGCTTCTCAAACCTTGTGTGATATCATCAGGCTGAGCAGGGATCAGAGCAACCAGCTCCAGGAGGCGGCCGACCTGGACCCTCTCCTGGCATCCCTGGAGTCGTAAGTAGCCAAGGAGGCGGCAGCGGGTGGGCCGGTGGGAGGAGGCCCTGGGAGGCGTTTCACTTGTACCGGAAGTTGCAGCCTGTACAGCCCCCCTGCGGTCATGTCACAGATTGGGTGCCCCCATGAGCCAACCCCCCGAGGGACGGGGACACTGCAGCTCCCCCACCTACCTGTCTGCGCCCAGGACCTCCGCTTCATCCCCCGCGGCCACTGCCGTGGAGAAAAGACGCCTCAAGCCCCGTACGGCAGCCAGCCACGCCAGCCCCAGCTGCCCTCACTGCCCGCACTACGCAGCCTCTGCTGTGCCCCACTGCCCTTTGCCGTTCTCCAGGCCGCGCAGCCCACCCCTTCACCGAGCCCCCGGTCTCATTTCTTCGAGCCTCCTGCTCCGTCTGCCCGATCCTTCAGAAACCTTCCAGCCTTCTCTGGGTCTCTGGAGGCACTAGCGGGCTACTTGCAGAACGGCAGGCGGCCTCGTTCCCCTGAAGCCCCTTGTGAGTACGGGAAGAAGTGGGGACACCGGGGGTCACCTGAGACTGCTGGTGGTCCCAGGTCTCTACTTAAGCCCCAGTACTGATGCCAACGAGTGCCCCTGTGCAGGGCAGCCCACAGGGCAGAGATCGGGGACAGACGGGGCAGTGGTGGTGGCTGAGGATTCCTGGGCAGTGGTGGCTGCTTTGTGCTGCGCTGCTGGGACAGCTGAGGCTTCCTGGGGTTGTCTGCAGTTTCCTGCAGCCCCTTGCAGCACGCTCCGTGCTCCTTACCTGGGACCCCCTTCGCTTAACGACAGCAGTTCTCGGCCAGCGATGGCAGCCAGAATGCCGGGACTGCAGCCGCTAAGAGATGTGGTGATGTGACGCTTTATGGTCACTTCCCTTAGTAGTGGGGATTCTGGCCTCAACTGAGCTGCTCAGGGACACACGTACATGCCCCGGTTCCTTGCAGTGGTGGCGTTGCAGCACCCCACAGCCGTGCAATTGCCCTTGGCAGCCCTCCCTCTTGGATTCCGAGAAGTGCGGTCAACGGGAAAGCTGGCTGGAGGGGGCGATTGGGTGGCCGTGGGGTGCTGCGATCGCTTGGGGCTTCCGGTTGGGGAGTGCCACCGTGTCCGCCCTGAGTTGGCGTGGTCACGTGACGTCACCTGGGTCCTTTTGCTACAGAGTGGCCGGCCCCAATTTCTCCCGGGGTGCTGACTTGCGTTTGGTGTCTCAGACAGGAGTGCGTGGAGCAGCTCTTGAAGAACGTGTTTGACGAGGGGTTGACGGAGACCTGCATTGTGAATGGGACGCAAGTTTTGCTGACGCTGCTTGAGCCGAGGAGAGCTGGGTAAGCGGGAGGGTTCTTTCTGCAAGGTCCGACTGGCTTTGCGGCCGACCACTTCCTCCGTTGGGCATGCCACCCTAGGAGGCCCCCAGGGGATTCCTTGCTTGCCTTACGTGTGAGCACAGCGGCCAAGTTATGCTGAACTCAGTTTAGGGGGGAGGCCTGGGGTGGGAGTCCAGGCTATGTATGGGCCAACCTGGAAACAAGGAGGGATTCCCTGACAGAACGGTTAATCCATGGAACGGCTTGCCTTGTGGCTGCTCCATCGCGGGAGGTTTTCAAGAAGAGGCCGGACAGCTGTTTGTCCAGGGTGGCATAAGAACTCCCGCCTTGGGCAGCGGGACAGGCTAGAAGATCTCCGAGGTCCCTTCCTGCTGTGGTTCAACCATCCCCAACGACTAGGCAAGGAACTCAAGCCAGGGAGGGTCCGACGTTCTGATATTTCTTGAATCGTGTCCACCTCGAGCAGCGCTGGCTTGGTTTTCCGGCAGAGCGGGGGTGGGGGCTCTGCTGCATGGCGCCAGGGCATTTGGCCCGAGCCCCCTCTGGCTGGCCGGTCCTTCTGGTTCCAGGTATCGCTTGCTGCCTTTCCTTGGTTTGGAAACGGAGCCAGTTCGGCCTGCCTGTAACAGTTCAGGTGCTGGCCCAGCAGTGGGGAAAGCTGAGCCCTTGCCCAGCCTGAGGCCCCCTTGGGGCTGGTCCCTCCTCTCAGCCCCGGGAAGAAGGGCAGAGGAAACCCCCAGCGCTGAGCCTGCCCGTATTTCTGCTCTACCCTTTTGCGTCCTCATTCCTCTGCCCTGGGCTGCTTCCCCTGGGTGAGAACTTGAACTACATAAACTTGGAGGTGGCTGTGAAATTGAAGCAGGCCTGTTCTAAGGCAGCAGCCACGGCTCCAATATGGTCAGAACAGGGTTTGTTTCTGACGCCGGCTTATTTTTCGACCCACAGCTTGGAGGGCCTTTCTGACTCCTTCTGCCAGGGGTTTGAAAAGTTTCACCCTGTCAATAGCGGCATCTTGCAGGGCATTGAGCCACGCCTGAAGGACTTCCACCAGCTGCTGCTTCACCCCCCCAAGGTATGAGGGGCTAATTCCTGCACGGTGGCCTGGATACGGGGACAGGAAGGGCTGGCGTTCCACGGCAGCCATTGACACCCTCAGAAAGGGGGGGGGGGAGGGGGCAGGCACTAGGACCCAGGAGGAAAGCGTTGAGCGAGAGGATGGAGAAAAAGAGATGGATGGACAGAATGAAGAGGAGTTATAAATCCTAGCTGATAAGAGAAATACTGGAAAATAAAGGAATAAAGGTTTATAAGATAGAGACAACTGTCAGAAGAGAAACATAAATGACAAATCGAAATGGGGGGGGGGAGAAAAGGTGGGCTAGAACTTATTCTATAAAACCTTTGAAATGGGAGAAAATGTGTATTCGGTGTTATGACAGCAACTTGAAGAATTAAAGATTGTTAGACGTAAAAGGAAAGAATTTAAAGTTCAACCAGGGTTAAAATATGGAACGTTACTATAAAATTCTGGAAACCCCTTTATGGACCTTGGCCGACATTTGGAGAGAAACGGCAATGAAGGGATTTGGGGATTTGGGGG